CTGGGGAAATTGCTTACTGAGTTATATATACTGGATCAATAACTTACAGTAAATACGTGTCTTTATATTATTACCCTGGCTTGTGTAAAGGCAAGCACAAGGGAAAGAAGCTACATTTTTTTCTACTTCAGCCCACAGAACTAACTAATGAGCTCCATAGCTCAAGCAATTATTCCAGAATAACATCTACAAATGAAGGTTATGCTGTTCAGTAGAGGGGGATGTAATGGAAATGTAAAACCACAAATGCTGATAACTATCTGTGATGTCAAACACTGCGGTGCTGCACTGTACATAAACTCTATTCACCAGTTCATCCGTGTTTGTAGATCTCTGAAGCAATTCAGTTGGACACAGTAATTAAATAAAGGAAGCAGCTCCCATTTCCTGTGCATTTTCACCATTAATCATCATCTACATCTCCATATCCCTTCATAATAATAAATAAAATTGTAAAGAGGGATAAGTTAAATGAACGCAATTACTTTTTACAGGGGGAAACTGAATTCATAGATCAATTTTTAATAGTTTGGTTTGTGTTCAGCTCATAGTCCTTCAGAGTGTCCAAATAATTGCATTCTGTGGAGTTTTTTTTATATTTACAGTGCCACTTCTTCTGTTTGCACTCGTCTCTATAAAATGAAAAAGATAGTAAACCTTGTCACTTTAAATCTAGTTCCTAACAGTTCCATTCATTATCAAACAACAATTTATTATATTGAAGCATATGTAAGTAGTTTACAAAAGTCTTGTTAAACAATGATTTATCAACATTTTTACACATGTAAATGCTTATTGCAGCATCTATAGGCATAGACATTTTTCAGAATAAAGCAGAACTAATGAATAACTCTGTACTTTCATCCTTAGCCTTGACACTGTATTCTAGCATACTAAAAGAGACTATTTTTCATATTCACATATATACAGTTAGTACTATTGTCCCAGATGTCCATTAATACTGGACTCTACCAAAGAGTGATGAATTACATAACTAAACTTTCTATCTCTTAACGCATCATATCAAGTAAAAATTAAATATTTAGGAAAATGTAAATGTTTTGTGTTTTAGACGGTTTAGTAACTATTGAAAATATATCAAGGTATTTAACTTTGCTCTGAATGCTTTCTGATATACATTTATAGCAATACATTTATATTTATATCTATAGTTACATCTATATTTATATTCATATGTGTGATACGATTTTCTGTGTACTGTTCTGTTCTAGTTTGTTCCTGTGTGTCCGGACTGTGAGTAACTCTTGTATTGTATTGTATTGTATTGTATGTATTGTACTATTATTATGTAATTCGTTACACTGTGGCTGTGTTGTGTGTGTTAAGCTGCTGTTGCACTGCAATTTCCCTCACGGGATCAATAAAGTATCTATCTATATGATATGACCTTGTATGTTCAGGCAGTATAGAAGTAAGGGAGGAATACAGGTTACCAGTCAAAACAAAATAAAAACCAAGACAATACTGAGTAATAATCTAATCGTAATAATACATAAATAGTTTAGGTAGATTTAATCATGTTTGCTTCAGATACATTTGGTCTTTTGGACTCTCAGGTTAATCTTGTTAATGATATAATCAAGATTTTTTGGGAGATACATTTTCCAAAGACAATGAAAGTAAAAAAAACGTAGGTTTTAAAAATGATCAATAAAGATGAGTACATTTAATTGGTTTAAATTAACAAGAATTTCCGTTTTCTTTCTTGAGCGAATTATTTTCTGTGACTGTATAGATATACATTCAAACTTTAATGTCTTATCTGAAAAGATTTGATAAACTAATATCTACTCAAATCTATTTTGTCTCAATATATAACTAGCCACAGGACAAGTCTGAATATGAATACTTTTATAGACGTACATTTTTGAAGTAGTAAATATTTAGAATCAAGAACATAATTCAGCTTGTCCCTTGGCGGATAGCAGAAGACAAATGATTTTAACCTGGTTGTCTCCTACCACCTAGTGGGCATTTCAAGAAGACTGCTTCAACAGTTGAATTTGCATTTTTGTGGAAAAATCAGTTAATTATGGCGAGACTTTCTAAACCATAAATATCACGTCAACATTGAAAAATATGTAGTAATTTATTTTCATTAATCTATCTACTAGTTTATAACTGCCACAGACGAATCATTTTTCAACTATTAATTTCTGGAAGCTCTCAAAAATACCAACCGCCGTATTTTCATCTAAATAACAGTAACAAAATGGCCAATTTCATATTTCATTTAATTGGCTTTCCTCGTGGCAATGCAAAAGAAGGTGTAATATTTTCCAAAATAAAAACAAGCAAATACAGTCCAGGAACGTTTTTACGTTGCGTTTAAGTTAAAACTAGAACACCCACATAAAATGTTAAAGGCTCATATGTTTAGACGTCACCTTTGGCCTCTCACCTTTCGGGGGGTGCATTCTTGAGACATGTGTACAGTCACCATGTTTCTGTACACCGCAACGAAAGTACACGTGTGAGGGCCACCTTGAAGATTAAGTGAATTAGGTACAGCTAGGAAGTCCCCGAACATCTGGCAGTGCAGTTAGTGTACAATATATCTATCAATGAATTGGTAGGAGGAATGAAGTGTGGTGCACTCACAGAAATACACCAGGAGGTGGAGTCTCACTCACACGAGCAGGGTGAAACGCGGGCTCCCTCTGTGCTTGGCCTGAGCCGTGCGCCCTGTCCAGGTCGTCAAAGCAAAGCTACTGTTTTGATGTTACGAAGGCTAAGGAAGGAACGTGACAGACGAAATTCAGATCAGAAAAGAAAACATAACTGTCCCACTATTCAGTCAGGAACACGCTGCGTGGAACTGGGCTGCTTGCGTTATCCGTATCAAAATCAGTTTTGCTAAATTAATTTGGCTACTTTATGACACATTTTGAGGGCGTAACTGCCAAATATGACCGATTTCAACTAATAATTGAAACTATAAAGTGCCTCAACGACAGAAATTAAAGATTAGCATACTATGAATACTATGTCTAATTGTAAAGCACATACTCCTATATACGAGTAAATTCATAATTTGTGAGGTGTATCAATTATTACAGTATTATTACACAAACTTAAAGCTTTATGGACTGTGCCAGTAGAGGGAAATTCAATGTCGTAATGATTTCGGATACAGTACCAGAGGCGTTAAATAAAGTCTGCAATATATTGTTAAATATCGAATTACAACAATAAATATTCTTTGTTAAATGCCCAACTGGTTACAATTCTGATAACAATTATGGGCAAAATGCTCACCATTTCTGTAAAATATGTTTACGATGAAGCATTGTACACTTACCTGTAGCATGTTTCATTGGAGCTCGTTTGTCACCTATTTTTCAGAATACCGTTTTGTCTGTAATACTGCATATCTGATGAAGTTTTGAAAGAAATGTTCATTCAGGAAATATAGCAAAGGAAAGAGACGATTCGTGACGCAACTATGGTTAAGGGTGAGCAGACGTCCTCTTAATCCCGGACATACGATTTTCATTTTTCTTGATGCCAAATTTCTGGAAACTTTCCTATTCATAACTTTTACAGACGCTTTTACATTCAGACACTACCTAAACCTACAGTTCCAGTTATACATTTAGTAGTAATAGATTCACACAGTTCAGCAGGTTATTTAATCAGTTTTGCACCTGTTCATCTGTATAATAAACTTGGACCCATAGTCATTGATATGCGAGTCCAAAGCTCTAACAGAAAGGGAACATTCATGACTGTAAAGACATTTCAAATACAATTCAACTGAAAGAAAACTAAACAGAAAATTGGTAGCTGATCTGCTAGTACTATTGGAACTGGTTATAGACTTGTGTGTTCTGTATATAGTAAGTGCACCAGTATAACAAAACTGTTCTTTATGTACTGTATATGGAAGGACTCTGCAACATCCTATAGAAAACATCTCGGTACAATTGTAAATTAGAGTACAGATTGGCGGAGAAGAATTTCTGATATGTTTACATGCAATCTAAGACATTAGTCCTCTTTTTGAGATCTAAATATCGGTCAGACAGGGATTGATAAAGTTCCAAAAATTATCCGTGATTTTGTTTTGCTCGGTACTCGGACGGTGTGAACAAACATAGGCCTACATATTTTCGCACGGTCCCGGCATTACTGGTAGAAGTTTTGAATTTACACGCAGCATAGCTTGAAAAGGGTTTGAGTGCGTATGTGGCTGTTTTTATGGCCATTAGAAATAACAATGTTTTAACTTGTTTCATTATTTTTCAAAATTAAATCATCGTTAAAATTGATCAT